CGAGATCGATTTTGACGCCATGTTGGTGGAAGTACTGGACGCACTACATTCTTACCACGATCATCAATCAGCATCGCGAGACAAGCGGGGCCATGTGATTCTTGTCCTGGACAAAGAGTTGCAGGCATTCCCCTGGGAGTCGTTGTCGTGCTTGAAGAATCAAGGTGTTTCCAGGATGCCCTCCATAGCGTCCGTCTGGGAAAAGTTGAAAGCTATTGAAGATCAACGGCACGACCTCAAAGGTTACATGATCCCGAGAACGGATGGTGCATATATCCTCAATCCGTCTTCTGACCTAGTGGCCACTCAAGAAACCTTTGGCCAGATTTTCGAGAATCAGCTGTCTAACTACCGAGCCATTGTGAATCGGCATCCTGAGGGAAATGAGTTCGAGACGGCTCTGAGAGATAGCTCGCTCATGCTCTACTTTGGTCACGGAGGCGGTGGGCAATACATCAGACCTCGCACAATCCGTAAGATGGACAAGTGTGCGGTGACGTTGCTGATGGGTTGCAGCAGTGCCAAAATGACTGAATGTGGAGTATACGAGCCTCATGGGATGCCTTTGAGTTATCTGAGTGCAGGCAGCCCGGCAGTGGTGGGAACGCTGTGGGATGTTACCGATCGGGACATTGACCGTTTCGCCATGGAACTGATGGCGGATTGGGGATTGATCGACGCCGATGCCAACTCAGCCGTGCCGACCCTCAACAAGGGCAGGAATCCGAAAGCTGGCAAAGAAAACGCAGCAAGGCACCAGAGTGGCAGGCAGAAGTCTGGCAAGAAATCTCTTGATGAGGCTGTAGCACACGCCCGCGATGCGTGTTTACTGAAGTATCTCAATGGGGCTGCGCCTGTCATGTATGGGATACCCGTCTTTTTGGGTTAGGGGAGGAAACAGGGGGAGATCGGCGTGGCTGTACGGGTATTCTGGCGCTTGTGCTGGCATATATCGACTGTTTGTGAATAAGGCTGAGACACGAGATGCATGTGGGATACAGCGCATGAGGTACGAGGCTGATGGCAGCCGTGCCCCCTAAATTATAATTGGACTAGTCGAAACCTCTGAGGCGCTCCGGGCTCCTTAGGCCAATGGTTGTCCAATAGGCGGCCACTATACATTATCGATTACGCACTGTTACTCGTAGGAATTTTAGGGCCGACGGAGCTCATATGGAGCCGACGCCCGCTGGTGCAGCCCCCAAGTTGGTTGGACTTGGACCTCCGTCATCTGCGTAACAAAAGGCAACAGCCATTTCACAGCCTCCCAACTCCCTGCACCTCAGCCCAAGTTGATTGTTCTTCATCTTCTTCCCTTCTTTCGTTCAGACTTCTTCCCACCCCTTCATTGTTTGCAAACACTTGCCTCATTCTTTCCAGGTCGACGTCTCTTCCTGGCCGATGCAGCTTGACTCCCACCGTCGTCAATTGAGCATCACCATGCCCTGCCCATGGTCTTCTCGTCGCTGCTCCTCCCGGGCAGCTGACGACACCGTTGTCTCCAATGCCCTCCCCTCTCCCAGCACTACGGCCGATGTCGAGGACTGGAAGAAGATCCGCAGATTCAATCTCCGCATGATGAGGAAGCAGATCCGCTGCGTCGTCCTGCTCATGGCTCTTATGGAAGCCCTCCGGGTTGGGCCACTACAGATCGTGTATGCTGGCAAACATGATTATCCAGCCCCCGCAGAGGACGACTATGGTGTATGTTTTGCCTTTGTAACTCATGGGATATGGTCATAGATGCTGACACAATGTCTCGATCAGATTGCCTACACGGTTGGATATTTCGTCAGTTGGTTGTATGTCTGTATCTTCATGGTCATCTGGATGCCGCTTTTCGATGTGAGTCGCTACATCCCCCTTCACTTGACTCTTCGTTATTGACTCTTGTACTCACAGTGGTGGGTCCCCAAAACCCTTCCTGATTCTGACGACCCCTCCAAACCATCGATTGCGACGAGAATCATCTGCCTGCTTAAGAAGCTCAACATGATCCTTCTTCCTATCTCCATCGGCGTCTCTCTCGTCACATATGTCTACTACTTGACGCATACCTTCATCTATGTCGACTCTCGCACCCGCGGTTCCACCCGATTCCCCAAAAATACACGCAAAAACTGGTTCGTTCGTGCCTTTATGCTTCTTGGGATTGCCATTAGTACGAGCTTGGGTCATGGCGCGTTGCAGACACTTGACAAATTGGACCTCGCACGAGTGAAGAATGTTGAGTACCTTTTGATCGTGCTGCCCGTGCAGATCAACTTTGGTATCCTCTTGGGAACGGTTATGCAATTCCGTATGGAAAAGAGACTTGCTCGCAGACAGGCGTTGAAGTTGCAGGCTGCGAAAGTCGAGGACGGCATTGTCGAGGAGAAGGCAGCCCTGCTTGAGGTCTAAACGGCCCTCGAAGCGGTTGGAATAGCGGTGGTGTCTATGGTTTGGTCAGACTGCTGGTAGCTCTCTACTGCCTCTCACAAAATAGTGACAGGCAATTGTTACACAATCACTCGGGCGTGGTTGCTGGGCAGTGTGATGGGCATTGGCTATGAGTGAAAAGCAGAGGACGGCCGAGATGTGAGTTGTGGACTTTTCAACCGCATTGGTAGGTCTCTGCAGCATCTGCTGAAATGGAAACATTGGGGAGGGAGAAAGATGAGACAAACAAGCAAGCACCTGGAGGAAATTGGGAGCTTGTGTCCATTAGTATGAGCCGGTCTTGTTGTAGGTTGGACATGCACGGTTCCATTCATTATCAAATATGATCGGTCAATTGTTTCTATGCCTGTTGACTTTCAAAGATTCCAGACCCAGTAGTTGATACAGCACGACACAGCAGCGGTTTTCCGCTCTATTCGCCTCTTCTTGACAGCCATGCTCCATGAACTGGCAGTAGTCGGCTTTCCAGTGTGTGAACCTCAACCAAAGTCCAAGGGTGGTGAAGCACATGTAGAAGAGTCCGGAATGGTTCCCGTCCCTATCTACCAATGCCCTCACAACTTAGGAGTCTATTGAGTCTATTGACGGAGAGGGGGGTGTCAAAGCTTCGTAGGAATTTCCAACCCAAGATAGATACCTAGCTTGCTCACTCACTGACAGAACTTTCTCTCACCAATACACAAGACAAAGGGAAACCTCTGAATCTCGCCCTGGCCCTCGGCCCTGCGGGCGTCGCCGAATTCGCCCTCAAACTTCTCGACGTACTTGTCCATGGTCCAGGCGGTTTCCACGCGGACATTGACGAACCCGACCTCGTTCAACAGGGCCTGCATGGTCTCGCGGTGGATGCCGTGTCGTTCGACGCCGCCCATCCGCGAGCGCGGGTGGAACCGCTTCGACTCGGGTCCCGTGTCCTCGAAATCTGTGAGGGCCAGGCTGCCCCCGTCCTTGAGGCAGCCGAGCATGGTCGTCAGCACGGCCTTCAGGTCCGGGATGTGGTGCAGGACCAGGTGCGACGTGATCAGGTCGAACTTGAGTCTCTTGCCGTTTGGGTCGTTTTCATCCGCGGGTGGGAGGTGTTTGTCCTCCGGGTCCTCCAGCAGGACCGCCACGGGGACGATGTTCCGCCGCGGCGGAGGAGCGGTGGATGTGTCGTCCTGTAGTTTCTTCTTGAGGACGTCAATCATGCCCTCGGCGGCGTCGACCGCGACCAGCCGCTTCGCGTACGGCGCCAGCAGGAACGAGAGCAGGCCCGTGCCGCACCCGATCTCCAGGACATCCAGGCCGTTGGGTCCGGGGGGGTTCTTCAGCGCCGGGAACCGGGGTATGATGGCCTCGGCCGCGTGTTTGCTGGCCGTATGGACAAACGGGTTGCGGTCCCAAGAGGCGGCTTCGGCGTTGAAGCGTTCGTTGCCTGACCCGGCGTGCAGGGAGGACACGGCGCTGGCCATTGCAGTCCCACGGGTTTGGACGATGTATCCCTTCAAAGAAAAAGATGAAGCCCGGCGAGCGAGCGAGCGAGCGAGCGAACTGGGAGGAAATGGAAAATCTCTCACGAAAGTCGCACTTGTTGCTCTTGGTGTATATCCCCCTCGCCCTGTTTGACAGCAAAATGAAATGGTCAAGCTTATGACATTTCTGGCAACTCTTTTCTCCCTATGGGCAGGTACAGTAGTAGTACTTTTGAAATATTAGCATCAAGCTTATCCCTTACCCCAACAAAGGAAGCGAGCGCATTGAGCCCTGCCTGGGGAAATCAATGACAACCTGATGCGTGCGTAGTGGTTGGTTGGTTGGTTGGCCAGTCACTGCGGGGGGTCTCTTCCGAAGTCGGGGGGGTGCGGGCGCAAGTCAGAACCTCGTCTGTCTGTCTGTCTTTCTCCAGGGATCGATCGACCTCGGTTCCCCCGCGTCTGGCAAGTCGTAACAAATGCAGCGGGTGTTGCGAGGGGGCATCGACGAGGCTGTCATGGCCATAACAAGTATACTGTGGAGGATGTTGAGTATTTCCAGCAAGAGCACGTCGAGTGTCGTGGTCAAAGGTGTCAGGTCATGATTTTTGGACAGAGTTTATCTAGAGGTATACCATGACGACTCATCTCATTCATTGCCGAGATACTTTTACAGTGTCTCGAAATCTCCTGATCACTTGCATGGTTAATTGTGTAGTCATGTCGTTACCTCGGGTCCCTCTGATTGTTCTTGCGATAGACCCTGACACCCTGGCACCCTGGCACTTGGTCCTGACGTCCATCCATACTTGTACAAGGATCTTACTCTATTAGTTACCGAATAGACAGACACTTAGATACTTCTCCGCTTTCTCAACGACTCGAGCAAACGCACCGAGTATATCAACTATATCCAAAGCAAGGAACCAGGACAGTTGATACTTGATACTTTTTTATTCTGTCTTCTCGGTCTTCTATCTAATATTTTTTGACCTTTTGAGAAACCTTGGGATATGTTCTCAGGGTCCAGCCAGATGTGATCTTGCTCCCAGACCTCCCTTCCTGCCCTACTTATTTACCTCCAATCTTCCAATCCACTCCCTCGCGACAATGGACTCATCCTCACCCACCGGCGCCAAAGTCATCGCCCAGGCCCTTCACGACCTGGGTGTCACGGTGCTGCACACGTTGGTCGGCATCCCCGTGGCCGACATCGCCGAGGAGGCCATCGACCTGGGCATCCGCGTCGTCGGGTACCGCAACGAGCAGGCTTGCAGCTACGCCGCCTCCGCGTACGGATACCTCACGGGCAAGCCGGCCGTGTGTCTGTTGACGGGCGGGCCGGGGATATTGCATGGTATGGCTGGGGTGAGTCGTCTCTCTCTCTATTCTCTTTGAGCACATACATAGAGGGGCGGGGAGGGAGAAAGTAAGGAGTGAGGAGAGGAGAATAGAGCAAGAAGAGAAGAGCAGAAATCTATATTTCTCTCCCTCCTTGCCTCTCTCTCTTTCTCTGACACTTGTCTCCCTCTCTCTCTCTCATCTACCTATATGATTCATCCTTGGTCGTGCCGTTTTTTCTGTGCCTTTCCCTTCTTCTAGTTCGAATGATTTTTCTCTCCTCTTGCTAACCACTGCATTCTTTGACCCCCATAACAGATCGGCAACGCCTCCGCCAATGCATTCCCCCTGCTCGTCCTCGGCGGCTCCTCCGAGTCCAGCCTGGCCACCAAGGGCGGTTTCCAAGAAATGGACGCCATCGCCCTCCTGACGCCGCACACCAAGAGAGCCATCCGCCCCACGGCGAGAGACCCGGCCACCATCGTCGCCGCGATCCGCAACGCCTACCGCACCGCCTGGTACGGTCGGCCGGGCCCGTCGTTTGTCGACCTACCCACGGAGCTGATCATGGAACCTACGACCACCCCGGCAAAGGCCTCAGACGTACACCCACCCATCAAAGTCCTGTCTCCCCCCAAACCGGCCGCGGACCCGGCCCTCGTCATCGCGGCAGCGAACCTCCTCAAATCGGCGGCCGCGCCGCTCGTAATCGTGGGAAAAGGCGCAGCATACGCCCGGGCCGAGAACTCGATTCGCAGCCTCGTCTCGACCCACCACTTACCCTTCCTCCCGACGCCCATGGGCAAAGGTATCGTCCCGGACTCGCACCCCCTGAACACGTCGTCCGCCCGCTCGGCCGCGCTCAAGCACGCCGACGTCATCCTCCTCCTGGGCGCCCGGCTGAACTGGATCCTCCATTTCGGAGAGGCCCCCAAGTACCGCCGAGACGTCAAGATCATCCAGGTCGACATCTCGCCCGAGGAGCTGGGCCGGGCCAACAGCCTCGGCGAGCCGTCGCTCAGCATTTTCGGGGACATTGGATTCGTCGTGGAGCAACTCCGGCACGAACTGGGAAGGGAGTGGAAGGCGTTTCCGAGTGACACCTTTCGCTCGTCATCGTCGTCGCCGCAGCCGTCATACTTCTCTCTCCTCTCGGCCGCGGCCGCGAAGAATGAACAAAAGTGGGATCGTCTGTCGACAACACCTACCAAGCCCAATGCTCTACTGACGTACGAGCGTGCCTACCACATCATCAAGGCTCAGCTCCACGCCCTCTCCCCACCCCAGGACGGCGGCATCGTGTACGTCTCCGAGGGAGCCAACACCATGGACATCTCGCGCAGTGCGTTCCCCCTCGAACATCCCCGCCAGCGTCTCGACGCCGGCACATACGCGACCATGGGCGTCGGGCTGGGGTACGCAATCGCCGCGTGGGCCGCGCACAACATCCCGCGCCGGGGCAGCAAGAAGATTGTCGCGCTCGAGGGAGACTCGGCGTTTGGGTTTTCCGGCATGGAGATCGAGACCATGGCCCGGCACAAGATGGACGTCCTGATCATCCTCATGAACAACAGCGGCATATACAAGGGCGACGCGCCCGACGAGGCCAGCTGGAAGGAAATGCAGGTGCAGACCGCGCAGGACGATACGAGGATCGCCACCAACGCGCCGCCTCGCACGAAGGGTCTGCGGAGTACCTCCCTCCTGTACCAGACGCGGTATGAGTGTCTGGCCGACATGGTCGGTGGGAGAGGCTGGCTTGTGCGCACCGAAGACCAGTTGGCCGAGGCGACCAGGCTGGCTTTCCTGGAACGTGAGAAAGTCTGTATCTTGAACGTCATCATTGACCCCGGCCTAAACAGCGCCGCGAGCTTTGGGTGGCTGGAGACCAAGGAGAAGCATGGCGGTGGAAGCGAAAGCAAATTGTGAACATCTAGCGAGTTTCCTTCTATCGGGGCCATAGTTTTCCTTTGTTGGGGACCCAAAAAATACTCTCCAATGCTTCTGTACCAGATTCGAAAAATTGACGATATTTGATTTTTTTTTTTTTTATTTTGGAAAGTATCGTCCTTTTATCGCGAGGTGGAAGAGGTATGCTGACACATCTGTGCGATATAGACGTTCCTCAGCGCACAAGAGCTCTGAGGCTTGAACGAGAAGCTTGAACGTGTGAGCGTCAGAGGTCGTGCATATAAAGCAATTTGAGAATGGTTCATGATTTCGTAATTTTGATCTTTGCTAGTGAAGAGTATGGTTTTGCTGAGAAAAGATGCCACATCAGCAGCCAAATGCAGGTGACGCCGCCTGGTCAGCAAGATCTTTTCACAGGACCCTCAATCTTCTTTGTAGCAGATAATCCAATTGAGATAACCGATAGGCCAGGTATGACAAGCTTGACCACTCTTGAACTTCCAGTTTACCAGCTTTTCACTCCCTACATGCCGGTGGAGGAGAGCCTCGACTTCCTCGGGCGTTCTTGTCCTTAGGCACGAAATGTAGCCATCCCAGACCCAAATAAAAGGAACAATGGGAACGAGGTAAGTGAAGAACAAATGCCCCGGCGAGCGAAGGAAATAGATTGGCGCGATCAGCATAGCGAGCGGCCAGAGGAGGCTGACAAGGATGAAGGAACTGAGATGGCGAGATTGGAGCTCGAAGATGCTGGACAACAGTCACTCAATACGGCCCGGAGCAAACATAGAGAGCCACTCACCAGAACCCATCCGACGTCTCTACAGTGTTCTTGAGAATTTTGGCGGCAAGGTCGTCGTCAAAGTGGTGGAATGCCAGACTGAAAAGGCGCATGACCTTCTTTCCTTTGGTGTCGGGAACGTCCTTGAGCAGATCTTCCTGGGTTGGAGCATTCGTGGCATCGACACTCTGGGCAATGTAACTGATGTTCTTGCTCTTCTTCGCAGCCGCCTCCCAAGCACTGACGTGGGGGCTGATGTCGGTGAGGACAAATTTGACCTCTTCCTTTTTTGTGGCACGAAGCTCGCTGTTCAGATGGTTCTCGATGTATGGTGTCGGACCACCCGCACCGGACGCGAAGTCGACGTAGACATACTGTGCAAGTCGAGGACCAAGGACGCTGGAGAGCACGCGAGAGACGAGTTCAGCCGGGGAGGTGGACTGGATGATGGGCAGTCTATTGACCCAACCAAGGGTCAAATAGTCTTGCACCTTTTCTCTGAGGGTTTGTGGGAACCTGCAGTGTCTTTTAGCACCTGTCCCCATCAATGAGAATAGCAAAATCGACATTACCATGGCTGGTCGTTGACTTCGAAGAAATGCCTCCTGCGAAGCCAGACAGTCTGGCTAGTGGGAGTCATTGAGATGCGGCACACCTCTCAAGGGTCTATTCTGACAGTCCATAACACTGCCGGACTGGTAAATATAAGTCCAATGTGCCCGTACATTTCAGGTGCGCTTCGACCTTGTGGGGGGCGGGAGGCGTTTTGAGTCGTAATAATCATAATATTTCGCAGTTGCAGTTAGTGAGTTTCAGCCTCGAACGACGTCATGTACATACGCGTGTGCCTCGTATTCTGTGTATCCACGTATCTTGTGTCGCACGGGAACTGGGCGAAACAGCGATCAGCTTCAATAACCTTTCAACGCCAGTGGCGGTGGATCATTGCTAAACTTGGTACGGAACGCATCTGGCCATCGTAAACTTATCTGCTTTCTATCATCCTGTCAAATACTCCCTCCTGCCTCCTCAGTGCCTCATTCGGTCCTGGTCATCACCTTCATCCACCATCTCTAGCCTCTCCTAGTTCATCAGAATGTTGCCATCGCCACCGTCGCATCTCGGATTTCTCGTCCACGTGGTCATTGAAATCCCTGCATGCCTCTCGTTCTACCTCTTCCCATCTCGCCAACTGGGAGTGCACACGCCTCATGCACATGCTGTTATACGGCAATACGCCGCCCTTATATTGGCCTCTGTTCTGGTGGCGATGGTATTCGTCAACAAGCCACTAGATGATACCTCTTGCAAAGTCGCCGGAGCGCTCGCAATCTACCATGTTGCCCCTTCGATCCGGTCTGTAAACAGGTTGGTCACACAGGCACAGTTGCAAAAGCCAATCATCATCTCCGAGGCGTTTCTCTACCTGGTTGTACATGTCATCTGCTTTGTTGCTCTACTCCGTGACGCCTGGTGCGCCCTATACAAGGAAAATCAAACTTAGAGCATCTAACCACACCCACGCCTTCAATCCCGCACCCTCAGTCCACGTCCTCGGCAACCAAAGTCTCTGTTGGGCTGTCGGATCCTGGGTCTGATCCTTGATTGCTTCTTTTGAGCATCATCATCTCGACAGCAATTCCTGGGCCAAAGGCACAAGCCACGATGTGGTCTGTCGTTTCACCCTCCAGCAGCCGATTCATGACGCTGAAGATGGTGGCGCTGGAACTATTGCCGTGAGTAATGTAAACCTCATAGCTTGCACGAAGAAGCTCGGGTTTCAGGTTCATTGTTCGTTCTACCCCGGTGATGATTGTGGAGCCACCAGGATGAAGCGCCCAGTCATAATCAGAAGCCTTGAATTTCCCCAGATCGACGAGCTCTGGTATTGACCCTACCAAGTCCTCAAACATGCCAGGAACCGCAGCTGACGCTAATTTGGGAACTCGCTGTGTCAAGACCACCTTCCACCCTAGTACCAGAGTCAGCAGCTGCATTCTTGGAGATAGAGTCTTCTTTTGCTTACCAACAGGGTCAACATCGAAGCCCAAATCCTTTTCGGTGTCTTCAATAATCTTGTGGTCCCAGCCTAAGAGCTCCAGGATTGGTTCCTCGTCATAGCGATCACTGAAACCATTACCGAGGACCACCGCTGAGGCACAGTCACTGAACAAGGTGACGCCTATTCTGACCTCCTGGTTCTTGTGGATTGAGTCCAGCTCAGATCTAACCAGGGTGCTTGAGATCTCGCAGGCGAACACCAGGATGCGCGCAGGCTTTCGTCGGAAGCTGGAACCAAGCGCGATGTTGGCGGCCGTTCGTAACGCTCCGAGACCGCCAGAGCAACCCACTCCGTGCAAAAGGACCTTTTCTATGCTTGGATTGAGCCCGAGTCCCTTGATGACATAATGGTCATAGCCTGGATTCGCCGAGTTGGTGCAGGTGGTCGCAACTACGTGGGTGATTTCAGAAAGATCCCCTCCCCATTGCTTGAGGGCCTTGCGACAAGCTTCTATTGACAGCTTCACACCATGGTCGAGGAAGAGATCGCACAACTCTGCTATTGTTGGGGGTTCAGGCGCATTCGCTATGGGATGATCAATATTGCCAATCGCAGAACGAGAGTCAATCCCAGTATACTCATTGATCTTCAGCACCTTTTCGAGTCTAAACGAATTGCGTCAATGAGGCTCAACCCTCGAGAATCTAGGGACGGAGGCTTACGCTGGGGTACTGGGATAAAAGCGTCGTGCAAGAGTCGCTAGATGTTCTGGCTTGATTTCATAAGGAGGGTATTCAACCCCAATGCCATGGATATAGAGATTGGGCCTTTGGTATGGCGGGGTGACCTTTGTGTGGATTGCTGAGGGCGACATGGCGGCGGTGGTGTTGGTGGTTTTGTCGCAAAGAATACGAGCCCCAACAATTTTTGGTGAGTGATGACGTTGGGATATTATTGCATGGATGAAACACAGCTGAGACAAGAAACTCTAGAGAGAGTTCACCGAGAGATGCGAAATGAGCGACAGTGGAAAAAGAGAGAGCACGAGTCTCTGCCGTCGATTAAGTGACTTTGGTAAATACTGGTGGGGGAGAGGGTGTGTGTAGATTTGACCTACAAGTATGTGAGCGGTAAATGCTCGCAGAAGTGCCATGTAAGAAGTTGGACAAGTGCCCCCCAGAATGCCCCGTACTAGTATCTCAGGGTCGGTGCTCGTGTGCGTCGGGAGTCGTCCATGGAAGGAACCCGCGAATCAAGGGCCGAGGAGATGGTAACCGCATGATGCGACTGGGGCGATCTAATCAGGATCTGAGGTGCCAAATGTGCCAATGTGCGTGTTGCAGAAAATAGTCATGGGCGAGGATGCGAGGGTTACGAGGGTCAGAGTCAGGAACATTGCACTTCCGAGTGGCTCCCGCTTGAGCAGCCTGCGTCCTTCATGCACATCAGCTATTATCATTACCACCACCACTACCATCATCACTACTGCCACCATCGCCATCGAACCCCCCTCCATCTCAGCCATATCTTCCGCGTCATGGCCCACATCGACAGCCTCACTAGGCTCGCCACCTCAGCACTGGCCATAAGAATGACCTAAAGGCTTGAGTGGTAGGTAAAACGGTCGTTACTTTACGGCCGTTCATGTGCCTCCCCGGATGGGATTTACTGCCGACAAATCAGCGATGATCTGGTTCACCACCTCCATCGCACTCTTGCTGGGCTTCACCTTGTACTATGCTTGGGCGCGAAAGACCAGAATACATTGCCATGGTCAAGTCTTGAGGCAAGTTTTCCACTCAGTAGCATCAATGATGTCTGCTAACCAATATCACATAGACATGCGCCAGACTCCTTGCCGCTCCTCGGCAACGCCATCCAGTTCCTCAAACCACGCCATGTTCTCTTCGACTGGTTCGTGAAGTGCCAGCAGAAGTTTGGCCAGGAGACATTCGAGATTTCCGTTCCTTCGCTACCTCCTGGCGTCGTAATCAACAGCCCTGAAGTTCTGGAGTATGTACTCAAAAATGAGGCAGCCATCACCAAGGGCGAGTTCTTTCGAGACCGATCTTGGGATCTCTTTGGTATGTCACTGCGCACTGAACATGGACCGAGCCATGTCTAACGTAAAACGAGTAAGGCTACGGCATCATCAATGCATCGGGCGAGTTGTGGCGCGCCCAACGGAAAGCCGGGTTGAAGTTTTTCAGTGGTACAAATCTGGACATTATGATCGAAGAGGTCCTTCCAGAGATTTATCACGAGTCCACAAGGGCCAGCCTTTCTCGAGCTGCCGAGGATCGATCTGTGGTCGACCTGCAGAAGATTTTCCATGATCTCACAACCACAGTGGTGGGACACATGGCGTACGATGTAAGAACTGTCAGCCTGCCGTGGGTGCTGTGAATGAGACATGGTAGCTGATTCTAACAAACGATACCCGAAACTCAGATGGAAATCGATGCCACCTCTCCATTCAGCAAAGCCTTCGACCACGCCTCCTCCCAAATTGGCCTCCGCTTTCAAAACCCTCTCTACAGTATCACCGAGTTCTTCACGGGTTCTTCCTTCCGCGCATCTCTTCGTGAAGTAAAACGCTTTGGACGTCAAATTGTGTCCGAAGCGCGGAAACGCCGTGCTCGAGAAGCGTTTGAGAGTCTCATCACCAACACCAACGAGGAGGAGACTGAGCTCATGCAACAGCGTCAACAACCCGAAAAAAACGAAGGATCTGGGTTAGGATTCGGAACGTTGATTGATTCACTGATAGAAGCATTGGGAAATCCGAAAATTGTCGCCGATGCCGCCCTAAATTTCCTGTCTGCCGGTCGAGATACCACGGCTCAGAGCCTGACATGGACGTTCTATGCATTACTGAGGCACCCTGAGGCACTAAAACGGGTGAGAGAAGAAATTGACCTGAAATTCGACGTCAAGCCCTCGGATAAGCAGTCTTTCAACAGTTCTGCTACGACGAATTCTGATAGCGCTGAAGAAGATGTTAACATCGATGTGTCTGACCTCCAACCTACCAATCTCCCCTATACTATGGCGGTCTTCTACGAATCCCTCCGCCTGTACCCTCCCGTCCCCTTTGAGATAAAGCAAACAACCCAACCCGTCACACTCCCCGATGGTACCTCCTTACCCGCAGGAGCCGTTGTGGTATGGTGCATCTGGGCGCTCAACCGCTCTTTTTCAACATTCGGCGAGGATGCCCAGTCATTCCGCCCAGAGCGCTGGTTAGAAGTGTCGAGTCCTGCTTCGCACGCGGATTCCGAAACCGATACCGACACCCATGTTAATACCGCAGCCCACAAGCCGAGCCTCAGGTTCACCGGCTCCAAATACTCGGCCGGCGAGTTCCCTGTCTTCAATGGCGGCCCACGCAGTTGCCTGGGCAAGAAGATGGCTGAGCTAATGGGTGCGTGGACGCTGATGCGGATGCTGCGTGAGTGGGACTTTGAGGAGGTCAACGACGGCTTGAACATGGACTCGTCCTCGGGCGAGCGACGCAGCGCCAACTCCTTGACCCTCCCTATGGAAGGCGGTCTGCCCGTCCGGGTTACAAGACGAAGGAGGAGGGTGTGAAGTTTATGAGACACACTCAAAACTCCATCCTGCAACCAGTGCATTCATAGACCGCACGTTGGAAAGACGTGTGTCTTTCCAACGTGCAATCTACCACAATCGGGCTAGCGCTGCATTTCATACCATGTCGCACAAACATTGCATTACGACCATTGACGAACTAGACTGGGACGGTGTCTATGGTGAATCTGGTCTCAAAAAAGCATTGACAAAGCAGAGTGCAATACTTGAAAGGTAGAAATAAAAAGAACCCATCCAGAATGGTGGGAAGGAGGGACATGAGTAAATCCGTTTCAGGGCATTTGTGCGTAATCTACATCTACATAGAAACATCCAAACTGCAACTGGCTCCTCCAAGGCAGAGCAGAGCTGGACATGTATCCCCCAAGAGAGGTCGGTGTCCGCAGTGCCTGTCTCGGGGCTAGTGTCGTCAAGGTGTCGGCGATCGCCTGCCCCGAGAAGAAAATGAGGCTGGTAGGGCCAAGTAAGTAAGTTCTCGACCTGCTCTACCGTAGCAGGCAGGAATCATATCTCGTCCGCATCCTCCCCGGCAACACTTTCATATCGCATGCCCCCGCCCCTTCTGGTCCTCAGCTTCAAGGGCACCTCGTACATGTGTGCATAGTCTACCACCTCTCCGCCCAGATAGCCGACTCCGTTCTTCCTCTTGCCGAACACGGGGGCCGGATCACACCAGAAGTCTTGACAGTTACCCACGATGCCGCGGCTGAAGGGGTTGGAGTTGCGAGATTGCAAATGGCCGTGAGATGCGTCGCTCGCAGTCACCATGAACGCATCGAGGCCGAGGATCTTTGTCCACCGTGTGAAACAGCCGTCGGGTCGGCGAGGAGTCGGCTGAAGGCGGGACGATGCGGCAGCCGTGTCGTTCAGAGAAGTTGCGGCTGCAGATGCGCCTTGGGTGATGGGGTGATTGTGAGTCGGGAGTATGGGTCGATGGTGGTCGTGTACTTTGTCGTGACGCTTCATATTTTCATACGTGGTTTGATTCTTCGAGATCTGGATCGTTTGAACCACGATCAGCATGACTACCCAAACAAGCTGGAGACAAGTCCAGAATGTGAGTGCCACGGTCCAGGGGTCCCGCAGGACGAAGGTACATAACGAAGGAGAGAGAACATGGCATTTGGCGAGATCGTCGTCGGCAGGTGGTGGGAGGAGGGTAAGGTAAGAGAGGACGAGGCGGATGTAGAGGATGATCCCAATAGCCATGCAGAGGATGTAAATGTAAAAATGACGGATGTTGTTGTTCCCCACGCAATTGTCAATCCACGGACAGTGATGGTCTTGTTTTGCAACGCATCGGTTACACCGGCGACAGTGTTTTGAGCGCAGGGGTTTTCGGATCATACACTGTACGCAGAAGTTGTCTTCGTCAAATTTCCACAGGGAAAATAGCTCGTCAATCGCCGCACGTTGTTGATTTCGTGAAGATAGCTTTGGTATCCACCCAGGATCTTCAATCATTGAGAGGAAGTAGAAGTACGCTGTAGCGGCGTATAAGATGACGAAGCAGATGGATGTGAGCGGATTCGTTGAGAATGTAACCGGGAGTACCGACATAACGTAACTGACTCCCACCCAAAAGAGCGTTCCCGCGAATATGCCAGCCAGATAGGGTGTTTTGTGGATGGCTCGAAATTCTAGAGGTCCGATCATTGCAATTCGTTGCGCAGCATACTGCATTCCCAGGCAAACAACCAAAAACAACGGAACTCCAATGTAGACGCTGAGGTGACTGATAATGTACAGGCCGACCATGATGATCAAAAAAGGATACAAGAAGAAAAATTTCGACATTTTCGAGCGATCTCTGACCACGGTGTGGAGTTTCAGTGGGAGCGTCTTGACGTTGCCAGAAAGGTCATATCCGTGGTCAGATAATGAGCGTTGGTATACTCGTTTCGTGTTCATTTCCTCGGCACAGATAAGTGGCGTCTTGCCTTCGTTGGTCTTTGCGAATCTGTCCGCACCGTACTCGATGAGTTTGTCCAAGCAGGCTTTGGAGCCTTTTACCAAAGCCCAATGTAAGGGTGTATATCCATTGTCGTCTGTAGCATTGACGTTGGCTCCCCATTTGAGGAGAAGATCCACGCAGGCTGGCCAGCCTTTATATCCTGCCCACATCAGAGAAGTATGGCCTTGAGGGTCGGGAATATCGACGGGGATATTTTGTTGCAGAAGAAGAATCAATAGCAGCGCATTTCCATCAATTGTTGCCAGGTGGAGAATGTTGTAACCCTGACCGTCGGTCAGAAGAGGATC